CAATCCATCAGAAAAAAAAATGCACATGAACAAGAAGAATTCTTATAGGGGTCAAACAAAATCTTTCTCATTTAATCACATCTGCTCTCAACATAAACAAATGAGAAATTTTAATTTTGATCTGAAAAAGCAGAACCAGGGAATTTTGGAGTTGAAGAGTCCCTTGGAAATTATCTGGATCCAGGCCCTCATTTTGTAGATGAAGAAACTGAGAGCCAAGAGTCAAGCAGTTTGCCCAAAGCCAAAGACTATTTCATTGCAGAGCCTGGACTGAAAGTCATGGTTAGCCTTGATTTCCAGGCTAACCCGTTCCATCGTGCCATGCTAGTTCCCAGACTGAGACTGGTCTTTCTCTCAGCAGGTTTATCTTTTTTTAACCTTAGCAATAATAGAAACCAAAAAATGCATAACGGATCATTCCTTAATGGGCTTGCAAACAATTTTATTAATAGCAACCCATATTTCAAGAATACCTTCAGGAGCCAAAAATGAAACTCCTTTTCAGGGCAAAAGATCATCCCTTTTACAGAAAGAAGTATGTGTGCTACTTACAAGGTGGTTTCCAATTTTATTTATAATAATAATTTACCATTAAAGTCTTCGACTTACACACAAAAAGCTCCCAGCTCATGTCAACCTACATTCAGTATCACTTGCAATATTGCATGTTGCAAAAGAAACAGAATTGTCTTTACTCTAGGATTCCATATCCTTTCCTCTCACCCACAAATGACTCTGCCTGCTCCAATCTGCTTTTTGCCACCATCACTGCACTGAAACAGCCTTACTAAGGTCAACAGTGAATTGTCAGTGAATGCAATGGCTACTTTTCTGTACACACCTACCTTAACCTCAGTAGTATTGTCACATTTGCCCACCCTCTCTCCCATTACATTATCGTTTTTCTCCTACCTCTTTTTTTCCTTCTCAGAATTCTATTCCTCCACCAGTCTATGCTGGAGTTCCTCAAGGCGCAGTAGTAAACAGTCTTCTTGCTTTATATGAGCCTCCTGGGCAAGCCCATCCTGATCTATGTTTTCTTCCGTATCAGGCACACTCTGTGAACTCCCCATGTGTTATCTCCACTCCAACTAAAAAACTTCCTGCCTTCTAGACCTTCCATTTTTAACTGGATGTCTCAAAGACACCTCAAAATCTGGATGGCTATGTACGAACTCATAATCTTTCTCCTTCCCATGTCATACCCCATCTTGTGTTTATTTCACGAATGGCACCATTCTCTCTCCAGCTACACCAGACACATGTGATTCCCGACGTCACCTCCTCCGTGCTCTCCATTTCCAATCCATCTCAAGCCCGGTTGATGCCATCTATTAAATTCTCTTGGACTGTCCCACTCTAACATCTCACTGCCACTCCTCCCTCTCAAGCTATCATGTCTCTGTACATTGTCTCCCAGCATCCCTCTGGTTCTCCTCCATTAGTTTCAAGACAAAGGGGTTGCCTGTGAAAACACTCAGAACACTCCCCTTTGCTCGTACTAGATTCCTAACATAGCCTGCAAGGTGTCCTATGATCTGAGGCCGGCCTTCCTTTCCAGTCTCATGTTCCACCTTACCTTCCCTCCTTGAAATGTAGCCTTTATCCTCCATCCTGTTTGCAGTTCTTTAGACTCATTATAATTCCTCCAACCAATGGGTCTTTGAATGTGCTTTCCCTTTTTACGAGAATGCGATCCCCTCTCTTCACTTACCTAACTTCCATAAATTCATCACATCCCATCTCAGTCATCTTTTCTTCATGGACACCTTCACGGGCAACCAACCTGGGCCAGATTCTTGCTATATGCTCTAGAGAACTAGGTTTTTTAGCATTTACCTGTATTTGTAATCATAAATCCACTGTTTTTATTTAATGTCTATCTTTTCTGCTCGACAGAAGTTTAAGATCATACGGAATACAAGACTGTTTTGGCATAAAAGGACTACCTTTGCACAGTGCCTCCTAGAGTATCTGGCACATAAGTTCAATAAACTTCTGCTGAGTGAATAAAATGATCATCATATTCCTGAGGTTGGCAAGTAAAACCCAGTTCAAGTTTAGAAACGGAAATGCAAAACAGAATACATCTAATAAATCTGGTCTCCATTCTTTTACTCAGACTTCCACCTTTGGCCATTCTGTACACGAATTCACCCAACAACTGTTTACTGATGGAGTCAATGTGCAGTGCCTGATTAATGCTGCTGCTTTTAAATAAATTAAAAAGACAGCTAAGACTTAAAAACGACAAGGTTTAAAAAGCATTTTAAAAATGAAACAGGAGAAAGCTTGCCTCATTTCAGAGACAGATTTCCCCTTTATGTCATTTAAGATTTTATTTTTAAGTAATGTTTATACCCAACATGGGGCTTGAATGCAAAACCCCAAGATCAAGAGTCATATGCACCACCAACTGAGCCAGACAGACGCCCCTGTGTTATTTAAAAATTTTACTTTATTAGATTCTGCATTTTTGTCCAGCATTACCAATGCATATACACATGGATGCCATCCTTTTTCCACTGGTTCTAATAAGTTCTGACACACAACAGGAAAGTAAAAATAACAGGTTCTCTTTATTTGTAACAGATAAAACTGAAGTTCAGCCACTTAACACAAGATTAAAAACAAGTGTAGTTACATCTGTAACGAAAAGACAATGGGCGTTCATCCACAGCACTGTGTTTCTGGTTTGTTTCTGTGGTCGGGCCTCCTCATTTCCCCAGGAATTTCCTTTTCGATGGGAAGATCATTTTCAGGGCAAAAAATGTTTATCAGACTCTGGTTCCAGTAGTACATATTTTATTCACTTCTATATACACGTACCCCTACTCGATCTAGAGCCAACCTTCTCATTGCATTCCTGACATCAGTCGTTTATTATAGCCCTCCCCCGACATTTACTATGCTCCGAGTGTTTACAATGAAAAAGAATTTGCACATAGCACGAATCAACTCAGCTGTCAGTGTACAGAAGTCACATGATCCTCACGGCGCTGAAATATTTTTCTCCAGCTTTGGGGAAATAATTGTATGTTGGTTTGAACACACACAGACAACATTTCTTAGACAAACATAATGCCTCAGGCTCATCTGGTAAGACAAATTGCTTTGTAATTCTTAGCACGATAAAATATATCTTTAGAAACTGAGAACCAAAGAATATTTACTATTCATTCATTCATTTATTTATATTTTTGGACAGAGAGAGAGTGCAAGCTGGGGAGAGGGGCAGAGGAAGAGAGAGACTCTCAAGCAGATTCCACACTCAGCACAGAGCCCAACACATGGCTCAATCCCACGACCCTGGGATCATGACCTGAGCCGAACTCACGAGTCAACGCTCAACTGACTGAGCCCCAGAACCAAAGAATATTTAAAACAAAAACAGAAAATCATACGTACCAGTCACACAACTAATGGACCGATACACTAAAATTCTGTCAAAATAGATTTTCAGTGAGGCTTTTCATTTCAAACAGGCCAGGGGAAAAAAAAAAATCTTAGAAGGTACATTTTATTCACGTGGCTCTTTGTCCTCTTAAGAGTTGTTTCTTCATTTAACGTTTATAAGTAATATTTTTTATTTTTTTTTTATTTTTTTTTTTAATTTTTTTTTCAACGTTTTTATTTATTTATGGGACAGATAGAGACAGAGCATGAACGGGGGAGGGGCAGAGAGAGAGGGAGACACAGAATCGGAAACAGGCTCCAGGCTCAGAGCCATCAGCCCAGAGCCTGACGCGGGGCTCGAACTCACGGACCGTGAGATCGTGACCTGGCTGAAGTCGGACGCTTAACCGACTGCGCCACCCAGGCGCCCCTATAAGTAATATTTTTTAAAAGAACCATGTATTACAAGAGGGTTATCTGTCTCAGTCAATTTCTTGTGAGACGTTATTAATGACAGCTTTTAACCCTCCAATGTCAAGAAGCTGGAAGGCAGAAAGACGCTTTGCAAGTAAATATGTAGCACTGTATTTCCTTAAGTGGAAACCCTGTACTTCCCCTGCAACCTAATTTTTTAGAAAATTATCCCTTTAAAAACTAGCAGAACTCGCTAAATATTGATTATTCTTCTGCTTCTCTTTAAAACCTTCCCTCGTATTTTCACCAAGTTTCTGCCAAATGTTTGGACACTATGTGCCCGGACTTGTTGCCTGAAAAATTTTCCTCAGCCACCTTAGAAAGATCGAACGTAGTTCACTGCAAATCGTTCAATGCCAACGGACGCTCTACGGATGCCTCCAATGTGGTGGGTAGGGGGTGATAGCAGGGAGGTGGTATTAGGAAATTACCAACGTGAAATGCTCAAAGAGGCCAGGAGAATGGGAGAAGACGCCTGCTCAATTCCATCCATCATCTTCTCTTTGGACTGTTTCAACACGGAGCTATTTTGTTTTTTAACTTCCCATCGTGTCTCTAGAGCTCACAGAGAGCTCAGAAATAAGAGAATCCCTGTGGCAACTGTGCTTTTCTGGATAACACATAACTTCTTATATCTATTTTCTACCAGAAATATAGCGCTATTAGAATTGGATTTTGTCTGATGGTCTTCTTTCCTACACTTTGTTTTCTATAAATGGTATCTCATTTCTGTAAGTTAAGTAATCAGGAGGTTATACTAAACCAACTAAGACAGAAATGCTGGATTTAACTTCTGACTTGCACATTTTGGCTGAAATTCTAAAAGAGCTCACACTGCAGGCCACCTACGAGCAAGGAGAGGAGTCCTCTGTGTCCTTCCTCAGAAGGGCTGGAACACTTAAAAACCATGACACCTCTGTAGTACAGTGATACGGATTCCTTTGTCACTAGTATAGAATTTTAATTTCCTGTATTTCATTTGGTATAACCAAACCATCCTACAGACTTCATATAACCAATCCTTGAAAAGAAGCACGAGCCATTGTTTTAGAGGTACTTTAAAAGAGAAAGTTATATTTATGAACAAAATTTCCTTTGTGTTACTTCTTGCAAACCATCATTCAACAAATTTGGCAATGTAATTTTTTCTTCTTCTTTGAAGGTAACTTGCACACTTAACGTCTTTTATCTTCTTGGGGTGGCTTTCTTTTCTCCACCAAAACCCAATTAAGGACGCTGTACCAATTTACTCTTACTTCCTTCCTGTTCACTGAGTTTAAAATGGGTATAAGCGAGAATGCCAAATAACGTGCATAACATGCCAAGACCCTGATTAATTGACAATGGATCCTTAAATAAAACATATCCTCCAAATAAAGTGATGCAGAACTTGAAGTGTCCGAACATGTTATAGCTGAAGTTTGTGGATAAGGATAAAAAAGCCAACAAGCTAGACTGTTCTATTCACATACGCACACACACACAGAAGGAAAAGCAAGCTAGATGTCATAGTCACACACACGCACACACGTACATATGAAGCAAAGCCTTCCTGTGGCTGGAAGAGCCTCATGGAGCATGGATTGAATTGGCCCCCCCCACCTGAGAAACGAGAACTTCAATCTGGATCAATCCTAGTTCCTTCAGTAGACTTCAGCAACAGTGACAGGAGAGCGCCTCAACTCTTTCTCTCCCGAAAGAAAAGAAAAGAAAAAAAGAAAAGCCCAAAAGAAAAGAAAAGCCCAAAAGAAAAGAAAAGAAAAGAAAAGAAAAGAAAAGAAAAGAAAAGAAAAGAAAAGAAAAGAAAAGAAAAGAAAAAAGAAAAGAAAGGGGCTATACGATAAGGTTGGAAAAGGAATTCAGAACAAGGTACAGAGAAGATATTTTGCTGAGCCACTTATATTTCCTAGTGCTATTTCTAATAAACTTCCCTTGGCACATGAGGGGAGGTGTGTGCGGCCCCAGAGACCAGACTCAAGGTGAACACATCCAGTATGCTTAAGTTTAGGAGGGAAACAGGGACAGTATAGGGAGTAAGACCCAGGACCAACGACATGCTAGGCGCTATGCTAGATGTGTGGGTCACCCCACTGTATTAAGCATGACATTTACCTTCACCACAGCATCACTCTTCCCGTCCTGTAACTGTCGGGGCCCAAGGACTTCAAGTAACTTAGAGCACAGAGTTAGTAAGTGGCAGAGCTGGAGTCCAAACACGGACGGGTCTATTTAACTCCAAGCCCATGTTCTAGTCTGGTGCGTGGCCAGCAGTAAAGTGCTGCTCGATTAGGGGTTTCCAAATCACTGTTCTTAAAAAACAGACTACACACACACACCTCACTCCTTTAAAAGTTATTCTTACCGTATTTTACGACTATTTGCTCAGAGGTTTGATGTGTACCCCGCGACTCTTCGGATAATGCTAACAGAAGCAGCCAGTGCTCTGTGCCTCAGTTTCCGCGTCTATAGGACGGAAATGGATAAAAGCTCCCTCACAGTGCTACTGAGGGGACGAACTAGAGAGTGTGTGCAAACTTTCCAGCACGTGGCAAGCCCCACACGTGTCAGCAACTGTCAACAGCAGTGCTGATGCAGAGTCAACATCTGCCAGGTGCTTGGCGCGTATCCTCTCAAACACTCCCAGCAGCCTGACGCTGTAGATGTTCTCCCCCCTCCACCAATTCCTAAGAGAGGGCAGTGACAGCCGACAGCACTCACAGGCGGCTCAGGTGCACAGGGAGCGATGGGCCCGGGCGTGCAGCCCTCGAGCTGTCTGACCTCGAAACCCGGGCTCCGGCCCCCGTTGGGGGGCCAGCCAAGCGGCCCGGAAGCTCCTTCTGGGCAGGAGGGCACAGGCCGCGCGCCAGGGTACCTGCAGCTGCCTGAGCCACTAGAAGTGATATCCTGGAGGGCAGAGGGTCTTCCCCAGGACATTAGTTGTAACCACCACAACACATGCTTCGTTGCCCATTATGAACGATCTCAAAGTGCAGTGGCTCTAACACGCTCAGTGTTGCCTTACGCCACAGCCTCTCTTTTTAAGGAGTTCACGATCTGTGGAAGATGTTTATACTGGAGGGGAGGCGAATTTAAAGAAATTCTTCAGTGAGGTAAAAAAAATAATAATAATAATACATTCAATTAAATCAAAAAGGAACAGTCTATACCTGGTATTTCCGATTCCCCTCTCTAATTCTGCTCTCTGCTCCGGTCAGGCTTTCACCTTGACACTCAGCTCTCGTCAGAATGTCCGCACCCCCACCTTACCAAGCCCCCTCCTCAATTCCCGGCCTTCCCTGACTTGGCCTGTCGGCACAGCTGACCCCTTCTCCTTACGTGGGGTCTGAATCACTTCCCTCCCCTCCTTCGGTTGCTCCTCCTCGGCCTCTGCTGCCAGCTCCTCTCATCCGTGGAGGAGTAAATGCTGACACGACCAGGGACTCCATCTTTGGGCGGCTCTTCTTCTGCTTGTTTGCTTGCTAATCTCAACCAGCCCCACTGCTTTAAACATCCACACGCGACACACAACTCTCTCTGGAATATCTGCATCTGAGAACCTCGATCCTGGACGCTCAGACTTGTTCTACCCGCAGCTCCCTACCCCAAAGCTTCCTTTGGGCTGTCCAATTTCAGCTGATGGCAGCGCCATTCTACCAGGTACTCAGGCCAAAACCATGTGAGCCAACCTGCTTCCTCTCCAATATACTGTCCACAATTTGTCAGCAAAACCTACTGGTGCCACTGGAAAATATACCCAGAATCCAATCACTTCTCACTATATCCACGGCTACCATCCTGGTACCAAACCACCATTATTTCTCTGGGCTCCCTTCTTCTCCTGCCTTTTTTAGTGCAGCGGTTCTCAACCGGGGTGATTTTGCCACCAGAAAGGTCCGGACACATTTTCGGCCGTCATACTTGGGGCATCTAGCGGGTAGAAGCCAGGACGCTGCTAGACATCTTACAATGTGTAGGACAGGCCTCTGCCACAAAGGACTGTCCAACCCCCAAGGTCAACAGCACTGAGTCTGAAAAACCGTGCTTCAGTCCGTTCTCAACACAGCATCCCAGACTGATCCTATTAGAACATAAGTAAAATCACGTCATTTTCCTGCTCCAAGCGCCCACAGCTTCCCATCTCACCCCGAGTCACGGTCTGTATGTAAAAGCTCTGCTCAGCCCGGCGACCGGTTCCTCTCAGAGCCTTACTATTCTCCGCCCTGTACTCTTCCTGCTGCAACTCTACAAGGCTTCCTTGTTTCCCCAGGGCCTCTCACCACCGGGAACACTCTTCATCCCAATCTGCATGGGGCGACTTCATTTCCTTCGGGTTTTCATTTACAAGTCCCCTTTCTGTAGATGCCTTCCTGACTACCCCCTCCGAGGTTTCAACCCAGTCCCCAGCATTTTGGATCCTCTTTCCGGCTCTTTCTCTCCTCGGCACTTAGCACAATCTAACGCTCTAGATGGGTATGTTAAATATTTTCTTGTTTATAGTCTTCCTCGCCAGAATTGAAACCTGTGAGAACAAAGAGTTTTGTCTATTTGGTTCACCACAGTACCTCCAGTGCCGAACATAGAGTACATATGCCATCATGTAAATACTTAAGTCAATGCATGGTTTACAGTAAATTGTTCAATAAATATTTGTTGAATGAATGTTCTTAACCAGGGCACATCATCGAATGCCTTGATTTGGCAGCATGGTGCACAAGTTCTGGGACTAGACTGCCATGGGTTCAAATCTGAATACTACACATATGACTGTCAGTGACTTATTTAACCTCTCTGCACCTCCGTTTCTGCCTTTACAACATAAAATGATAGAATTTAACTCACAGAGCTGCTTTGAGAGTGTGATGCCTAATACACCTTAGGTGTTTCTTTCTAACAGTGCCTGGTACAAAGAAATATTTATTTAGTGTTGGTTCTTCAAAAATATTATTCTTAGGGCACCTGGGTGGCTCAGTCGGTTGAGCATCTGACTTCGGCTTAGGTCATGATGTCACGGTTCATGAGTTCGAGCCCCGCATCAGGCTCTCTGGTATCAGTGCAGACCCCACTTTGGATCTTCTATCTCCCTCTCTCTCTGTGCTTCCCCCGCTTGCGTGCTCTCAAAAACAAATAAAACATTAAAATGAAAATAAAAATATAATTCTTATTATAACTTGTTGGTATTTATTGATAGTTGGCAAATATGTTGCTTTTTTACTTTGCTGGCATCTCAGTGTTCACTCATTTAAATCAGCACACTTGGACATAACATTACTAAACTACCTCTCTCATTTGGGGAAATCCTTTTTTTTTTTTTT